TTACCATGGTGATCCAGCTGTGCAGCATCACTTACCATGGAGATCTGGCAGGGTCAAGGAGAGACGCCTTCATTGCACTGAAAGCTCTGACTTGAGACTCATTATACCTGTTAACACATTTTGTCATACATCTGTTAGGGCTTCATGTAAACATTGGTCTTGTTTCTCTTTATTGTCTGAGCTGTTCGGGAGTAAAATATGTTCCACCCTACTAATAATAATAATGCATAAAAATATGACTATATATGTAATATAATAAAATTTCCCTTTAATGAACCAAAAGCTAAACATGAGCATCAGTTTTTAGTGTATTTAGATTTTCTTGCTGGTAGGTCTCAGTCTGTCCACTCGCTCTGATGAATCCATCATCTTATAATGTAACACAGCCAACCCCCAACCTTTCCTCTTTTTTTCCAGCGCAGTCGTTCTCATATGTGGCACAAACCTTTCAGCCTGTCAGTGCTAACAGCGCACTTAACTGATTTCTTTAGAAAATGTAGCCGCGAGCATCAGTTCAGCCAAAGAAAGCGTACATTATGCACAAAGATTGGCCACAGCAAAGAGGAGATATGCCCCACTTCCTGTTGGAGTTGGTGCTGTTGATTCTGTCCTCTCCAGATTGTAAATAACCTGTTTAACTACACGGATGTTATAACTGTTCACTCACAGGCTTCTGAGATGTGGTGGATTGTGACCAATAAGTAGGCTTCATAATGCAGTTTTAAAGGCATGAGGATTGCATTGGTGTGCAATATAAACATGCTTTTGAAATCAAGCAGTATTCTTGCTTGTAAAATGTCAGTTACTGTGAAATGTGTGTATTTTAATCACAGTAACAGATTGGTAGTGAAGTAATATTTTTCTACAGTATTTGCACTAAATTGGTATTAAAATATAGCACTCCACTGGTACTATAGAGAACTTTAATGTGCTTTTTAAACAGGATAAATGGGACTGACAAAAACATACCATTTTGTACTTTAATTTATAACAGTGTGGAAACACTGCAGTGTGGTTTGAGTTTTTCAAACTAACAAGTCAAAGCCTGTTTGTTGGTTTGTTGACCCTGCAAAAAACACATTCAGGCATTTGTGAGTCACCAACATGTTTCGTTTTACAAATACATTTATTGATTTTTCTTTTTTTTCCTGTTTGAACCTGAAACAGGAGGTTGTTGTTATTTCCTTCTTCAAGGTTTATTGTGAAGTGAGACGCTTTTCTTGTGATTTGTTACAGGAATATTTTGTGTTGTTGGAGCCAAATATTAAACTTGTATTGAGGAAAGAATTATGTACTCATATGCTCGTACATCTGTTTCCTGCGTAATTATATATTATTTTAGGTGCAAGGTTTTTTTTATTTTAGGTGCAAGGTTTTTTTCTATCCTTAGAAAATCTTGTTTCGGTGGTTTTAGTTTTTTCACACCTGTGATTTTTCGGTGACAGACTGGATTTTCCTTCCAGCTGTATATTTATGTATCTGCCACTTTGTTCAACCTTTGCATTTTTTTTTTCTCTGTCATGTTGTTTCCTTTTTTCCCCTGACTCTACTGTTTTCACAATAATACATTTGTAGACATTTCAGCCAGTCCTATAGAAACAACTGGACCCCCTCTCCTCAGTAATAAACCTACATGTTTCCAGGTCGGTTACATTTCTTCTTTTATGCCCCTGCAGGACTCCAAACTGCCTCTGTCTCTGAGGAGTAATCTGCTGGACCTGTTCAGTCAGATTGAGAGGGAGTTTGAAAACCTCTACATAGAAAACCTTGAATGTAAGTCATGAAGGGAGGTGTGGCTGTGATTCCAAAAGTCGCTTCAGTGTAATTCTTCTGCATGAATCCACTGTGCAGCCAATGAGTTCTGATTCTGTAAATAAAGAGCAAGAAGAAATAAGGATAAAAGTAGTGTGTGACTGAGAAAAACAGTATCAACATGTCTTTTTTTGGCCTCTGTGATAGCTTTTCCAAAACCCGAACTCCTACCCACTAAAAAAAACCTGCACATTGTTGCGTTTTTTAACATATGGCATGTTTGACTTTCAGTACGCAGAGAAATCGAAACACTGAATGACCGTTTGACCGCGGAGGGACAAACATTCGAAGGGGCCGACTTGGCTAAAGGAGCTCTGAAAACAAAAGGTAAGTCACACTCTGCATTTGTCTGCATTTGAATTTTAAGTAGCATGTGTGTAGTATATGACCTACTTAAATTTTCCTAAAGTGTTGTTCTTTTATGTAATATTTGTTTTCATGATCCTCTGACCTGTACCTGTGTATATTGTGTTTATTTCCAGCGAGTCATAGCACCAGTCAGCTGTCTCAAAAGCTGAAGACAACCTACAAGGCTTCAACCAGCAAGGTAAATATCGTTTTACTAATATTTTGGGATAATTCTCAAAAATTATAAAAATAAGTTGTTGTACATATACTAGGTTAAAGTCTACATGCATGTATACTGAGTTGCCAGTTTATAAGGTTGTAAAACTTTAAAACACAGTCAAGTTCAAGAGTGAATAGAAGCCATTACATCGGAAATCATCACATTTTTACAACTGTTTCTGCTCAACCATCTCTAATTAGCCTCAGATTTTTATGGCATTAAATATGGGTGTTTATAAAGATATTTGTAAAATTTTAGCTTGATGTATTCTTAAGATAATCATATATATATATATATATTATAATTTATTTATTTATTTATCTTAAATTGTCAGTTAACCCACTGTCAGCAGTGTTTTTCTCACATTAAAATTTGAAGCTGTTGGAACAACAATATCTCAGGATCTATTAAAGATACAACCCTGAAATTATCACTGTTATTTCTCATCATGGCATTGATTTAGAATCTGTAATATTGGACAGTAGATCAAAATTCTGATTTAATGATGAATTGAAATATCAAAGAAATGAAGCTGTAATGAAAAGTTTTGTCTTTGAGCACATTAACTAAAAGATTTTTCACAACTGATTGAGCCAGATATGGCAAGTTGTACCACAAAAACTAAATGTTCTGGAGCTGGAATTAGAATGGTTTCAGATATAAGAACTTTTTTTTTGACTACTGACATATCTTTTATTGTGGCATCTTTAATAATTCTTGAGGTATTGTTCTGACATAACTTCAAGCTTCAATGTTCGAAAAAAACAGTATAGAGAGCCTGCAATCTTTAAAAACAAAACAAAACATTATCTTACAAAGGTATTTGATAAATCAATCTAAAATTTCACAAATGCATAGTAAATATTTATAATTTCTGATAACAATAAAAGAAGCTTGAAGCAAATCAGAGATGGTGGAGCAGAGGACACCTGATGATTTGAGATGAGATAAACCTAAATTTAACCTCCATGAATGTTATGAAATGTTGATGTGTTGTCTTGACTTTTGAATCGAGAAAATGTTTCATCTTTGTTTTCTTGCTGGTCAATGTACGATCACATGAGCTTTGTGAATGTTAAAGAGAAGAACTGCTGTCTTTTTCACCTTTTTGCTCGTAGCCGCGTTCAAATTCTTGCCATGCCAGAGTAGGTGGATCCCGCAACTTCAGCGTAACCAGCTGGGAGTTGTGGGGTGGAGACTCATGGGTAACTTGTTGATTTCTCCCCCTTGTGTGCCAATATGCATGAACAGCCCAGCCAGGGGGTCGACACTCCCTCCCCACGAGACTTGGTCATACAAATGTAGGGGTTTGAGCTCTTCTACCTGTTTCTGCGTGAGATAAAATCATGACCTTATTATCTCACTAACAGGCTTTTCAGTTGCACCTCTTTAGTTTTGATTCAACTACTCGTCGGCATTCACATAATGGTACACTGTGGAGACGTCTTTAACTCGAAGCGGCTGGAAACTCAAAATGCTTTCTGGGCCTTGAATAATCAAACACTCGAGGAGGAGCATTTGGCTGCTTCAGTTCACTGCTCAGTTACAGCAGAGTGGAGTGTGTGGTCTGCTGAAAAGCGCTTTGCCATGTCAGATTTTATTGCAGATTCAAGTACTTTGTCATTTAGCTGTGTCTTTTAACAAATCTATCAGATACAGTGGCTTTAAACAATCAACTCAACACAAAGCATATTTCAGTTATCGTTTGTGGTGTCAGCTACACCTGAAGATCTGGTGAGAGCAGCGGTCAAGACGGACACTTTCTGATTTAATAAAATGTTATTAGATGCACAAATCAGATAAATTAATTTCAAATAAATTGAAAACCTTTATGAATATTTTCCTCACGTTTGCAACTTTCAAAAAGATGTCTGTGCCGCTGTTTTTTCTCCTATCTGTGAATCAAAAAGCAATTATGGATCTCAGTTTTTTGTTTGTTTTAAAAGTTGTTTTTCATTTATGTGTAAGTTAATTAAAAGTATTTGCAGATTTTTTTTTTTTAACTTGTGGAGCTTGTTTGTATATTTACAGATCCATTTTATGTTTATGATACATTTTGGAGAGTTTACAAAAAATACTTCTTGCATTTGTGCACAGTGATTTACATTTACAGATCACACATCTACACACTGATTGTCATTTTGTTCTGACAAATATTACTCAGACGGATTTAACTCAACATCCACAGTACTGTAAATCTGCAGTAAGCTAATATTAGCTTGCTTTAGCTTTACTTTGCAAAGACTGATTGGAAAACCCAACCTGTTTTTTGGTAGTAAAACAAGCAAAATCTTGATGTGGTTGTGGCAGACTACACACTGACGCTACAAACTGTAGAGCTTTACCTGCTGGGTGCGTTAGAGTTCTTAATTAAAGCTTATTCTGCGGAGCTTTGCCTTTCTTTAAACCTCCCGGTCCCTGTTGCTGCTTCTTTAAATGTTCATCAGTGTTACAGTTGAACAAGTTCAGGATTCAGCATCATTCTCAGCATACTACCACAGATTCATCACACTGCTCGTGCATTAAGTGAAAAACCTTAACCTAATGAAATGAAACAACAACCAAATTGGAGTCTCATACAGCTGAAATCATTTGCTTGATAAATTTATATTTGCCACAAGAGAATCTGCCGTGCTGCTTTCTAACCACCAGTAACCACTGGTTCCCACACTGCTTAGCACTGGTGTGTTTCATCATATCATCAATCTCAGTTTGACCATAATTTGTTGTTTTCAAATCTTTTTTAACAGATAAAAGATTTTGAAGCGTGCTCTGTTCAATGTGTAGCCTGAGATTCATTTTCAGATGAATGATGCAGCTCTTTTTGCTCTCCTGCTTTATTTCAGTTGGAACTTATTTAGTGGTCTGTGTCCAAAACGAGCCAAGAGTCCTGTTTGTATCATCCCCATCTTTAATGTAAAAACACTTTGACCAAACCTTTAATAAAGCTGCTAAAAACTACTGATCAGTTTCTTCTGTCTCACCATAACTCTGCCCCTTTTTTTAGGCCTTTTTTTTTTTTTCTTTATTGCAGTTTTGCATTGACAGTAATTCCCAGTACTGATAAAGTACAGATAATTCATGTGTCTGCATTTGTGTTGATACCAGATCTGGGTAGTTGATGCCGTTTGTTTTTAAAGCCCTCGAAGCATCAGATCGGTGGAGTTTATAACAACTGACCGTAATGTGCTGAGAGGAGCTTAAAGCAAACAGCAATAAAGATATTTTGGTAAAACATCTTGAGCCCAGGACTGATATGAATAACACTGTTGTCAACTGAAGCTTCTCAGCCCTGCAATACTACAAGGACCCCTCCTCAGTTCTGCTGACCCGCTTCCTCCCTCTGTCAGATCAGGGTTCCTACACAGCTCTGGGAAAATAAAATCAAGTCATTTCCATTCCTTAAAATGTTTGGGAAAATAAATAGTGGGTGTGGGGAGAACGTAGAATTTTTTGTACCCTCATGGATGCTATTAATTGCATACCAGGGTTGCCTGAAGATGTGAAAGGTTTAATTTGTAGCTTTTCTTTTACATTTGGCTTCAAAAATCACTAATTTGAGTCAAATAAGAAAATAATTTAACCCTCTGAACCCCAAAAGTCAAGTTATCTTCTTTAAGAGAATCTCCAAAATGAATTACTGGCCTGAAACTGTGAAAACAGAAAGAAAAAGTGGTTGAACAGTGAACTAATCACGTGTGTCTTTTGATTGGGAAAATTAACCAAATTTTAGCTCAAAATTGTGATATGTCTTTGAAACCACTTTATTCTAGACGCCTCATTCAAAAATTTGTCAAAAATACACAGTATGCTCCACTAGATTCTACAAAATGCAAAAAAATCTGTGTTCCTCAGCACAGCTGTGAAGCCATTAGTGACTCAGCTGTGACCAGCAGTTACATGGCAGAAATCCAGAAGTGTTTGGCTGAACTGCAGCCAGTGTACACAGAGCAGGAATTTGGAAACATCACAAAAATCTAAGCAGTAAAGTATTTACACTATGTAGAGTCATCTTTTTTATTTCCCAGTGTTGGTATCACTTGTGAGCACTTACAACAATGTTGGAAGTGTTGATTCCAGGTTTTTTTTGTGTGTTTGGTAAAATAAATAATTTAAGAAATCTAACTTTAGTTTTTGTCTTTGTATGATTTAAAGAGTTTTAAATTCCTTGGGCTGCATGGAAGAAATTTTGGAGTTTGCATTTTTGAGTTGAGGACTTTATATTGCAGTAAAAACATAGTGAGAAAAAATGTGAAAGAGCAAAAAAATGCCCAGACACTGCTGCTTGGAGTTCAGAGGGTTAAAACGCATGCTTCAGTCATTTCTAATGATTAGCATTGGGTGTTGATCCCTCTTTATACCAGTGATGTGTAGGAAACCTACTAGAGATAACTCTGGGATTCTCTGATGTTCTGTATTAACATGATTGATATCGATGTCAGATCGTGTCCAGTTTCAAAGCGACCACGTCCAGAGCGGTTTGCCAGCTGGTCAGGGAGTATGTCGGCCACAGGGACGGCATCTGGGACCTCAGCGTCACCAGGACTCAACCAGTGGTGCTTGGAACAGCATCTGCAGGTGCTTTCATACTCATCAGAGATTTAATTTATCCTCAAAGGTCTTTGTGTTTCATGCAGTTCTTTCTTTTTCCTTCTTTCTTGGTGTTTTTTTTTTTTTTTTTTTTTGTGCTAAAACTTGCATCCTCTGTATCGTTATAAATCTGTTTTATACCTGTGAGTTGGAGGATTTCATGCAGCTGGCCTCACTGTCAGCCCACATCATATGTGTAGGCTGATTTTTCTTTTTTCAGACATTTATTGTCGAACCTAGATGTTTTTAATGCAACCTATCTCTCCAAACTGAGACAACTATTCAGTTCATACTAAATTTAACATAAATAAAACAGTATATTACCAGATGTAGACAGTAATAGTAATTGTCTCTTTGGCTTCTTTTGTATCCTAACAGACCACAGTGCGATGCTGTGGAGCATCGAGACGGGAAAGTGCCTCCTCAAATATATGGGCCACCAAGGATCAGGTAGAGTTGGATATATACAGTACATTTATTGCAATAGATGTGATTAAATGTTCTCACACTGGTGTTGTTGGACAGACGTCCATCCCTGTGAAGTTATGAAACATTAAGATGTCTGATTTAGATTTGCCGCCAATATCCGCCAGATTAGTCTCTTTGTGCAGTGATGCTCTGCTTTCAGTGCTTCTGCAACACTTGTCCAGTTATGGACATTTTCAGTGCTTAAAAACATAATTCTTTTAAAACTCAATCACTTTTACATCCATCCAGGTGTCACAATCTAAAAACAACATCTGTTTTTTTGTTCAACTCTATAACCAGTTTTCAGCATCAGTATTACAGGATGTATGATAGTTTGAACAGTCAAACTGCAGCAGTTTAATGTCTGTGACAGAGTCATAGAAACAATCATTGGTACCCTGGATGTGTTTTTTGATAATTCACCAGAAAAAAACTTTAAAAAGTGCATTCTGGGTAAACTTTCAAGGCCCATATCAGCATGTGTGATGGTGGTTGATCAGAACAAGTTCTAGACAATGAAAGGATCATTTTTACACACATTTGATACCAGGATCGTCTTCTAGACACGATTCCTTCATTTTCTAATGTAGATGTATTTTAACACTAACAAATGTAGCCTCTTTGGGTGAAATGGAGAAACAGTGGTATCCACATGTTCTACAAAAACATGAACAACTTGTCCTGATGTTGATATCATGGCATCACATGGTCTCCTGACAAGTTGCAAATGTTTGACACTGATGTGCTTCATGCTTCACAAGTTTTTCATTGTACCTCATGAACAGACATACATTAACATACATTGAAAAAAAACAAAAACAAAAAAAAAACGTAATTATGTACATGTTTTTTTACAATTTTGAATAGTATAGTGGCCTCTTACTTTAGTAGTAAAGTAGACTTTTCAACCTGATTTCAAGTAAAAAGTCTAACCATTAATATAAAGGTGACAATATAGTATGAGTATCCTGTAAGAAAATTTTATTTCTATTTTAACTAATCAAAAACTTCTAGTACTTGGAAATAGTTTTCAAAACATTGAAGGCCAACATTGCATAACATCTTAGTAATGTTTGTTATATTGTGACATAATGCAGATGTCTCTGTCTCCACAGTCAACTCCATCAAGTTCCACCCCACTGAACAGATGGCTCTAACAGGTAACATCCACAACTACAACACCGCTGAAGTTTTAAGACAAATCTGTGTTTTTTATAGATTTTTTTTTTTACTGCAGCAGCCTTAAAACTATTACACTGAATTCTTGGTGCCTTAAAAACTCTTTACCTAATACATATTCACAAAAGAATGACTCAAAGCTGGAACACATCCTGCAAGAGGACGCCGCAAAAACAGTCTGAAATATTATAGTGTTTTAAATCTTTATATTGTTGGTTTTAACCACAAAATAGAAATGTGGACATGAATGGATTAATTTTGGCTCACTGTGTCCTGAAAACTGACCACATTCAAACACATTTTTTATAGTTGACAGTTGTTCTTGACCTGTGTCTTTACAGCCTCAGGAGATCAGACAGCTCACATTTGGAGATACATGGTGCAGCTGCCAACTCCACAGCCTGTTGCTGATATCAGCGTAAGTAAACAGAATTTCTGATGATTTATTGTTCACACTTTTGCTGTTTCTGCAACTGAACTCTGTCAATTGTTCCTGCTGTGGCAGCAGCAGACGCCCTGCGAAGACGACGTTGACTTTTCAGACAAAGACGAGGCCGACGGCGAGGTCGAAGGCCCGAATGACTGCCCCTCCATCCGGATGGCAACCACAACCCTCCGCAGCCATCAGGGCGTGGTGATCGCTGCTGATTGGCTGGTGGGGGGTAAACAGGTTGTGACGGCCTCATGGGACCGAGCCGCCAATTTGTATGATGTGGAGACATCAGAGCTGGTCCACTCACTTACTGGTAAGAAGAGAATATTACAAAAAGTCTGTGGTATTCCAGAAAGCACAAGGATTGGAAAGCTATTCTTTTCATCATCCTGCTCTATTCTCGGATCCAGTAGTCATTATTTTTTCTAGATTATTGTATCTTCATTTTTTAACCAATTCTCAGTAAAGCTAAATTATTTAAAAATACACTTTGGCTTTGATGCAGTCAAATCCCTCTGTCTGTAGTCACTCTGTGGTTTTTACCGATGTCATGCCCACAGTTCTGTCTGATTGATCACAAGTGAGAGCCAATCAACCCTAAAGGGTAAATGTTGAGAAGTTATCTTTTAAATAAACATGTAACTCAGAGGGAAACAAAGGCATTATAACAAAATGTTGATTCGGAGTTATTCAAAATTTTGGCACAACAGTTTTCTTTTTCATGACAAATGTATATCAATTCTAAACATCTATCAGTCCCTGTTCTTACTTGTACCATCTCTAACCCGGCCTTACTTACACTTTTTATGTTATTTGCTCATTTCCCAAGAACCCGGGTATGCAATGGATTATTTGGAATTTAAAAGGAGTTATCTGTAGGTACATTTTCTTGTCAACAGTTTAATCCATCAACACAGTCCTTCTGTAAGGCAGTAATGACTATCACTAATAATATTGTCTTGCAAAGTGACACCTTTCTCCCCAGCATTGTATTAGCAATGTAGAATGGTCCGCTGCACCTCATTATCATTCTTTCAGAACGGTTACTTCATCTCAAAGCATACAGTTTTTAGAACACTTTTTGCTTGACAATCTGATTTGTCTGATTTTTTTATTGCTTAAAATATGGATATTGTAGCTCAATTCATCCAGGATTTTCTGAGATTATTTGAGGCTGTTTGAACAATAATATTTCAGAAACTATTTAAGATGAAAGTCAATACATTTTTACTGTTATTTCTTATAATGTCATTTGTTTAGAATCTGCAATATTGGACAAGCAGATCAAATAATCTCAGACTATGGGTGAGTTGAAATATGGAAAAAAAAAAGAAGAAACAAAACCCCATCTTGGAACATGTGTGTTCAGCTGAAGGAAAGTCTGATTGTGGAATTTCTGTCTCTGCTGCCAAACAAAGGAGGTTATTAAAGAGTAGATAAGTTGTTGCTATGTTCATTACTTTGCTGGTTGTTTGTGTTCAGGCCATGACCAGGAGCTGACCCACTGCTGCACACATCCCACCCAGCGCCTGGTGGTCACCTCGTCCAGAGACACCACCTTCAGGCTGTGGGACTTCAGAGACCCGTCCATCCACTCTGTCAACGTGTTCCAGGGACACACAGAGTCAGTCTGACACCTTCACGTCTTCCTTTTCACTGACTTTCATCTGTTTGAAGACAAACAACACAAATTTTCTTAAGATGACATCAATTCCACGATCTATGAATGTATTTTTCTAAAAGTCAGCTGGTTTGAAAGGAATGTTGTCCTCAAAAAAAACAAAAACAAACAAAAATGACATTAAAATGACACCAGTCTAAACTTAACGTGGATATTTGGTCAAAATCTATTTATTTTACTTTTCTCATTTAGGATTTTGCCAAAACTTAGCTGCTTGTTTAGACCTGATTCTGTTAAAAGCGAAAATTTTGTGTAAACACTGCCTGCAGTTCAGCTAAGAAGTCCCTTTAAACTATATTTTTAGTAAATTTTATACAAGGGGACAATGTGACATTAACTACAACAGATAGACTCAGTAAAGTTCAAACAATCATTTGTAAAAGAGGTTTCCAGTTATGCAGGTGTTAAACAAATATTACAAAACTTTGATGGAAACACATGACATTGTTTGACGGCTGCTGTCATTCCTGCTTCACTCTGTTTAAACAAACTGGGTTTCTGGTCCTGTGCAGCACGGTGACGTCTGCTGTGTTCACGGTCGGAGACAACGTGGTGTCTGGGAGCGACGATCGAACCGTCAAAGTGTGGGACCTGAAGAACATGAGGTCACCCATAGCAACCATCCGAACTGATTCTGCTGTCAACAGGTGAGTTAACTTGCGAGCAGGTGAGACACATAACTAGGTTTCTTATTAATAAGGATTACTATAACTGAATATGTACAGTGATGAAACAGAGCGTCATGTGATGCTATAAAATCAGCTAATGTCCTGCTTTGTGGAGATGTTTTTGCTTCTTCTTCAGTTTTTGGAGGTTGTGTCTGTCAGTTAGAACAGATTGTTAAAGTTGATCTGACTGTAGACAGATGTTGCGGTGCTACAGGTAGCGTTAGTTAGCACAGTGTGTTAGGATTATCCCAGCAGAATCAGTTCTAGCTGCACCGACACCAACAGCTAAATGATTCAGGTGTTTTCTGTGTAACAGAGAAACTGAACATTCTTGTGGAAGAATGTGGTGTTTATTACAGCTTCAGCAACATCTGTTACCTCACCTTTCAAACAGCTGATTCACTGGAGCTGCTACAGTCTGCTAATGCTCTCGTCTGTCTCTCTGTGTAAACAATAGCTTTCGGTGTTGACTGGCTGTTACTAGTGACCAATCAGATTGTGCTTTGCACAGTGACTATAGACAGAGAACTGACTGCATCAGAGCCAAAGTAAAACATTAAATTAATTTAGCAATAATTGGTCAATAAAAATAACAATACAGATATTTAGAGAAATGCTGAATATGGGCTGTAACTAACAAGTGTTTCTTTACTGAAAAACTGCTTGTAATAATGGTGATTCAAAATGTTTTTGCCCATCTCTGTGAATTAAAAAAAAAACTTAAACAGCTTTAACACATTACATTTTTAAACAGAATTTACTGCATGTATTGAATTATTAGACTTTGTTTGTGTCTTTTAGGAAATGCTGTAATTATTTAACCACTTTCATGAAATTTAAACTTTAGTTATCAGTGTTAAAGGCCTGTTGTGTCGGCTCTGTGAAAGAAAACAGCTGGTGGTCTAATTATTTGTAATCTACAAGAATTAAAAGAGATAACCCGTATGTAATTATGCTTGAACCAGACAACACTGACTTTTCTTAGTAAGTGGTTAAAATGATGAATGGATTCTCAGAGAAGTAATGTGACAAACAAGAAAAGTTCAACTCTGCAGATATTCTTTAATCCTTATCATCTTGTGGGATATTTCAGAATGTTTACGACTAAAGTATGCTTAAAAGTGAATGTTAAGCATGTGGCAGAATGCTGTGTAGACATTAAAATATTACTACCACGTACTGCAGATGAAATCTAAGCTCGTCCACTCTGCTGACCCTTGTTCTTTATGTTCAGGATCAGCGTGTCGGTGAACCAGAAAATCATCGCTCTTCCTCACGACAATCGGCAGGTCCGGCTGTTCGACATGTCCGGAGTGCGACTGGCTCGACTCCCACGCAGCAACAGACAGGTCAGTCTGAGATTTAACATTTAGAAATTATTCTGCACTAAAACGTGAAAAAGCAGTTAATAGAACCTGGTTTGATAAATTGAGCAGCATATTTACACATATACACACATATTCATCTTTAAAAAGCGTTGAACCTGGGATGCCATTTTCAGAGTTTAATATCTCTGGAAATAAAACTCACACAGTCGTGAAATTTTTTGAGTACACACACAGCATAGTTTCCAGCAGATCCAAATAATTCAATGGTTCCAGCAGAGGACAAAATTTTAATTATTAGCCCATTAAAGTGGGATAAAAATACAATCGAGATTGGTATAGTGGCCCCAGAAAGTCCCTGTAAGTGTATATGTATGGATGGATCCATATTTCTACTAAAATGCAGTCTTTGGTCAACATTTCAGCAACTTTAGAGGCTCTAACATCAGTAGAATTTGATGTGTGGAAAGTCTGGCATGGCAAGGTTCCAGTTTTTACATATTTTGACCAAATGTTGGTCAAGGTTCTATATGTTGTTGTTATCTGTACAAAGTTACAAGCTGCCTCCATGTTGCTTTCATATTAAAGTTTAACAGCGTGACCAAAGACTGTATTTTAGTGGAAAATATTGAAATATCCACTTACAGGAACTTTCTGAGGACACAGTAGCAGCCTTGATTGAAAACTTTGTCCTTTTTCCATTCCCAAATCTAGTAGCTGCTAATAGGATAATACTGCTGGAAACTATTCTGTCTGTGTCCTCACCCAATTTCATTCATGTGGGAGTTTTATCTCTGGAAATATTGAACCTTAAAATGGCTTTTCAAGTGTTTTGAGGGTGAAAATGGAAAAATTCCCAGGTCTGACAACATTTGAAATTCTCAAAATTTGACCAAAACATTTCACAGAACTTAGTTTTAGGTCCAAAAATCCTATTAAGTAAATTCCGAACTAAATCTAAAATTGACCTGACTGCTGTGTTTTCAGGGTCACCGGCGGATGGTTTGCTGCTCTGCCTGGTGTGAAGAAAACAACACCTGCAACCTGTTTACCTGCGGCTTCGACCGGCAGGCCATCGGCTGGAACATCAACATCCCCGTCCTGCTGCAGGAGAAATGACCTCCTCACTCCGTCACCTTACAGAGAAACTCCACCCAAAGTCTGTCTCGAGGATCAGACCCTCAGGTTTAAAAGGCGGCTGTACAAAGTTTACTTTGGTCAGTTAGGTTTAACAACACATACTGACTCTTACCAGCTGTCTTTTGAGCCTTTGGAGGGTTGTCGTTTGTCACTCAATGGTTCCTGAGTTTAGGAAATAGAAAAAGGACCCGCGCTTGCTGTCTGCTGCATCTGTCGCTCTCTAAATCACCACCGCCGGTATTCACTGAACACATTTTTGTGTTTCTAGCGTGGAGGAAAACAAACACTGTCTACCACTGATGGGACAAAAAGCACAGAGACATAACTAAAGATGTTCTTCTTTGTTGAAAACAAAATTGCATTTTGCTGATGCTAAAGAATTAGAGAATGAAGCTCTGCATATTCTGCTTGATGCTGATGACATCTAAGCTTTGGTGCTGACACCTGGCACATGTTTAAAAAAGGACAGCAGTCTTTAAAGGAAAAGTCCACAAGTTTCATGTAGTCTCTTCTGGTTAGTACATTTCTAGAGTTAATCTGCAACCACTTGTGATTTACTTTCTGCTTCCTCTGATTTCTAACATTAAACTGTTTTCCACTGCAGGAAGTTTAGGTTTGAACCTTTGTACAAGTTCTGACCACTAAAACCGTCCCTGTAGACCCTACTTCAGGGGAGAGCAGAGTTCCTACTCCACTGTAGGTGCTTCTGAGCTGCCCTGAAAACTACTGCATGAGGCTGATTAGTGAAACTCAGAAAAGATAATAAGGACCAAAGTTCTCCCAAACATCGCCACCTTTAGTGTAAAAATGACCATACAGGTTTAAATGAGAAACCTCCATTGTTCTGTTTCCTACAGATAACTGGAGTTATGTCCGGTAGCTATTTGTTGTTTTGGTTCACTCTAAGTTAACGTCGCTGTTGAAGCAGCTGCAATAGAAGCAGAGATTCTGTAAATGTTAACCCTCGCCCAGCTGCCCTGAGTTCCTGCAGTAGAAAGACGGCTGGTAATAACAGCTCAGTGAAGACAACTACAGGAATTTTCTGCATCTAGAAATAACTTGACACAGCATACATTTCCTAACTTGTTAGGCCAGTTATCATCACAGCATTAAACTGTACTTTTCATTCGGAATTTCATTCCCAATTTTTTGTCTTTTTGGCACCTGAGAGTTGTTGCCTAATATATTAATATATTCCTATTAATATCTATAATATATGTGACATTGAAGAAACTAATCATCCTTATCAGTGTCACTGTTTTTTTTGTGTTGTCATGTGACAGATAATCACATTTTAGAATGAAGCTCTTGTTTGTCAAAGCTGAGTTCTACAGTCGGACCTTTTTACAAAGAACCGATTGCTGTTTACAGTTTTCTTTTAGCTGCTGTTGCAGAAAAAAATAACAAATTTGCAGGTGAGGTTTGCTAATGAGTCTTTGCTGGACTTGTTGACACATGAACAAAAGGAGTTTGGTGGTTCTGTTGTGCAGTAAAGATCAAGGCAGGCTGGTGACGCTGACAGTGGAGCTGTGTTTGAACCAAAGCTTTTCTCCACTGTGACGTTGTTGAGTTGCTTTATGCTCTCTGAAAACAAAGCTACATGTTATCAGACTGAACCTGAACATTCAGATGCAGACGGATGTTTTATTCGGTCAGTCAATTAAAAGTCAAAAGTTTTCACCAGTTTGAAGAAGGTTATCCACAAATCCTAAACAAAAGTTTTAGCTCACAAATGAGTAGAAATGTAAAAATTCTACTAATCACCTTTTAAACTGCTGCTTCCACTAACGTGCTGTGATCTGTCTGCACAAACAGAACTCCTGCGACTGAAATGACCACGTTATGAATAAATATGTGGAGACCTTTAAAGTTTGATGAAGTGTGACTGAGTTAGCTGTGTTCATGTGCGAGCATTTGTAGATTTTGCAGACAAAAATCAAATCAAAAACCCAACAGCAATAAATATGTGCAAATTAGCAAAGTAGAAAACAAGAGAAGAACTCGTAAAATGAATTTGTAAGTAAAATAAAGCATAAAATACTGAAAAGCAGAGGCAAAAACAGAACTTCTGAAGTCTACATAGAAATCAATATAAAGTGCTGAATGTTTAACTCCACTAAGAATCGATGTAAACAACTTCATTTATCATAAAATCTCATTTCAGTCAACAAAAGCGTAGAACAAGCATTAACAAAGTGGTGTAGAAACGTTTGAATCCTGCTGTCGTACAGATACTTGATATGATTGTAAAAGAGACTTTTTCTAGTTTTTCGCAGAGCCCTTTAGTCATTTGTGTTGAAAACACTGTTGTGGGGATTCTGTCAGTGTCACATTTGTTACGGTACCTAAAAAACAAACCAAACCGACCAGTCCGACCTGTGAGGAGCGTCGTGCTGCGTTCACCTGCTTAGCTTTCCCACTGCCACTGAAACACTCAGCCAGAGCTGAACGGGAGACTCTGTAATGTATGTTTGAAGTGGTTTCGCTGCGTTAAAAGTCTGTGAGTGTGTGTGTGTGTGTTGTGGTGAGATGGTTCAACGTGTTCAGTGTTGTAGTAACAAGCAGTTTCCACTGTTGGAGTTACAGCAGTGACACAATAAACAAGCACAGTTCGTTTCACACTGTTAGCCTGCTTTAGTGGAGCGTAATAGAAGTGTACATCTGTGTGCACACGTACAGCTTCTATGTATGTATTTGTGGTCACACTTGACTGCTGCCTTTTGCAAACCTAAAAGTATTTGTAACAGCAAAATCAAAGCCAACTAAAATGTTTTCAGTGCTTGTCAAAAGGCAAATGTAAAGTGTTAACCTCCTCTTACTTTAACATTTGTACCATATAAATTGTAATATATGAAGAAAGTTTGGCTGTATAGTGTATTTCAGCTGCAGCGGTTTTATTAGCCTTTATAACTTGATGACATGTTTTTTTTTTTTTTTGCTTTTTTAAAAAAATTAGGTGTAAAACCACTTTCTCGCTTCGTGATGGGTGATCATCGGTTTTTACATTCACATAAAACTGAGCTCATTTTCTCATTTAATCCAGGGACGATGAATGCAAACGTCTTTTTGTTTCGAAATTCCCGGAAGAGTTTTGCGTCAGGCCAATTAAAATTCTATTTGCAGTTTGTTGTGTTTAGTATTCCATAAGGGTGTTTATATCAACAATATGTTATTTAAAAGTACAAACATTTTCTTGCTGTAGTAGAACCAGTGTAGAACTTTTAAAATTTAAGAAGATGTTGCTGCTCCCTAAAGTCCTCAAAGGATCAGTACATATAAAATCAACCAAATCTGAAAAAGTTCCCCCCAGATCTCAGAATCAGCTGATCCTTCGTCTACAGTAACTTTATTTAATGAAGCAAAGTTTCACCTTCATACTATGAGTATTTTCAGAGTTCCAGGTCCTTGAAGTCCATAGAGGAGGGTCCACATTTATCACTTTAATGGACTTTTTCCATCATTTCTGAGCCTCAGAACTTCATCAGTACAGCAGATAGACACATGACATTTTAGGATGAAAAACACATTTGTGTTCTGGTAAAAACTGCAACCAGATCAGTTTTACATCCATCCAGGAGTCACAGTCTGAACAGTGAATCTGTTTTCTGTTTATTTTCTCTGCAACCAATTTTGAGGTTCAATATTATGGGATGCATCATAGTTTGAACAGTAAACGCTGAGACACATTTTACATAGAATGACCTAAAAGCATCTTTGGCAGCATTTAAAGTTAAACCTTTTCATGTGAAGTCTTTAACTTTGACGTTCACCTGCGGCCCTCCCTGGTCTAAATGACAAAACATTTTGTGTGAAGAAGATTTCAAGCTGTGTGTGAATGTTTGATCTTTATCCGATAATGTTCTCTTCTTTTCAAGCAGGTTTCACTGCGTTCAACTGCATTTTCTACCAACACTGAGCCACTTTGTTCATAATTCACCAGTTTTAACTGAATGTTCACCATCATCGGTCACGTTGTTGCTGAGCATCGGCGTCTTGAAGCCTGTGAAACTGTGGCTCTTTGGTGTTAACAGTGCTTTGTGTGGTCGATGTAGAACAAACGCCACAGCTCAGTTCTCAGAAAAAAGAAAGGAAAACTTGACCACAGTTTTGTGGATTATAGCTGTGTAATGAGAAACAAGCAAGGGCTTGTGGAATTAAAATAAACCACTTGTGCTGTTTGAACACTTGTTCTTGGCTGGTTTTTGAGTTTCTTAAGCGACACTAAAATATTCTAGCTCTTGTGGAACAAACTTGAATCCATTCGGCAGGTGAAGCATGTTATTCCAGACGTCCCTCAGGACTAATTGTGAACGTGTAAACAGGGTTCAGGTTGTAACGGCGACTTTGAGAGCTTATTTCATCAAAGATAGTGTATAAAGTGTTCCTTTTTATTTACCTCACCCACAGATTCAAAATCTGATTCTGACTGCACACAGAATACACAAACACAACAACTAGCACAAATAAGATCATTTATTTGCAGTGATTAAAAATAGTCACAATCAATACAGAATACATCCATTCTGCAAACCTAATAATAAAACATTCAGAGCATCAAACACCGACAGCTGAAGTTCTCATTTACTTCACAACCTTTTTCTATAAATAGACACCGAGACACGCAGGAAAATAAATCTTTGGGATATCTGTAAGTATTTGAAGAAAAGATGAGGGTAAAACACAAGTTAGACAGACCTATACGCTACTTCTTGTAACTCAACAGTCTCCCACTAAGTGGCAGCGTCACCTCACAGTCCTGAGCCTCCGAAACAGTCGCTGCTCAAAATACATGAAGGAGATCAACTTGAACATAATCAGAGACAAACAGTTGCATCAAGAACACATATTCTAAAAGCAAACACAAAAAAAACTAAGAGTTACATGTTCAAACATATTGTTGGGACATAAACGTGTTGACAGTCACAGTATAGAGACTCATCTCCAGGTAACACTTGGTTCAGGCTGAACACCTTTGGTTAAAATCATTGTCGGTTCATTGAGGTTTGGTTAAGTCACCAAGACAGAAGCAGTCTGCGGTTTGTTCCAACGTCTGCAGAGAGAAGATTCGGTTTAAGAGTTGAGGGCTGTAGGAGGCATCACGGGGATGGAAATATATATTTGTACATGCAAATAAAATGATGTGAAACCTTCCAGTTGCATTTATTATCATTCATTAACAGATCAGAAGTGTCTTCCAGTGAGACTGTGCAGAAAGGAGCTGCAAAACCTCACACTGTTGTTACAAAGATAAATGGAAATTAGTCCTTAATGTCATGTTGTACACACGTGTGTCGACATTTGACTAAAAATAAAAACAGTTGCAGTTTGTATCTTTTGTAATCATCAAAATTTGTGTGTCATTTGGATGCTTATCACCATTTTATTGATCCTTATTGCATGTTTTTCTGTCTGCTTCATATAGTTTCTGATATCAAAAAAAGTAATTATGATGCTGATTATTAGTCCATAACCCACATTTTAAACTGTACAGTTGTTTGTTTGCCCGACAAAGCCAAAACCACAGCAATGGCATATTTGACTTTTTGATCTCTTGTCATTCAATAAAAATGTGAGTTTGTAACCTCAACGATTACGAGTTATTTTAAATTTAAGGTTTTGAAATTTTGCCTTTTAAGTTGTGCATTATTATTTCTGGACTTTGCATAATTCAGTTTGTCATGTAGCGAACTCATTATCAGCTGCAGAACTTTGTTATTTCACGTATTTATTTATACGTGCAGCATTTGAGTAAATTATTCAGATCTGCTGAGAGCAAACTTTGGTTCCTACCTGCTGTTGTTTGGGGTGGGATGGCTGTGAGTGTGACACTGGTGCTGCAGAGGTGAAGGCTGCATGTTTGCTGTCGATTACAGAAGATTATTAAAAAGAGAAAAACTGCAGCTCCTTTTGTCAATACTCAGCGATAACCAGCCTCATTCAGCTTCCCAGCTAGAGTTTTTATTGTTCTAACAACATAATGAGAAAGTTCTGCAAAGTTCAAGGGATGTTGTCATTGAGAAGTTGTTTTTTAGTTCCCAAAATGTTCGAGGGTAAAGTTCTCTGATGATCATAAACTGATGCGCGTTTTGCTCTTGGCTACTGCACGTATATTTTTCTGATATAAAGTGTCACAGTGGTTGACTTGATGTGGTGCCGCATTCTGTGAATAAAAACATACATGTGCTTCACTCCAACTCTCCACATTCAGCTTCAGTTCACACGCTGAAGTTTTGGAGCTTTGGAGGTTTCCTGAGCCATGTTCCCAGACCGCCTCCCTGCAGAGCACTGCTGAACTGCTGCATGGCCCTCTGGTAGCGTCCGGCGGCCATCTTGGAAGCAGAATATGTGGCCAGAGCGTCCTCGGCGCCCGAAAACGAACTGTTTAACTGAGAAAGAAGAGCAGAAACATAATGTAAAGCATGTCAGGCAAGACAAAATACACAAATACAGGTTTTTAGGGACACTTAAAGATAGAACTTGCAGTATTTACTGTTTCTTACACTTAGAGTGGTCACCTGACCCATGAATATGGACAGCAGCATGGTGGAGGCGTTACGTGAACACTGGTGGGTTGTCTGGGATTCCTCTACCAGTACGTTTTCAGAATCAGGAAGGTTTTATTGTAAGTAGATAACAGATGAACTAGATGAAAAGTGTTGCCAGTTGTAGTTAAAAAAAAATTTAACATGATAAATATGAAAAAGTGTCAAAAAGTAATAGGAATATTTCCAGTGTGGAGGAATGTGAAAATTTCAACCTAAAATCAGTATTATATGAGGTTGCATATACTGTACTGTAAACACTGAATGTCTTTTCTTTTCATTTTTGTCATTATCATTCATTTGATCTTCTTTTGCATTAATTTATTGTGGAAATATTTTTAAAGAACATTATAGGAATCAAACATGATACCTGTGTTATTCCATATTGACAAAAATCTGGAAAAGTTAGAATCACCTGGGGCATTATTTACACAGTAACTTTGTTGTCTTTAATGAAGCCATGCAAAATTTCCCCTTCATAGGCCCTTGAAGTCCATAGAGGAGGGTCCAGATTTATCACTTTTTAATGGACTTTTCCAATAATTTCAATTTACAGTATTTTTTTTTTTTTGTTGCAATGTCTGTTTTAGAAGATTGTTTTACCACAAAGTGATTCATGTCTTAAAGATGATCCTGGTATCAAATGTGTGTAAAATGATCCTTTCATTGTCTAGAACTTGTTCTGACCAACCACCATCACACATGCTGATATGAGCCTTGAAAGTTTACCCAGAATGCACTTTTTAAACTTTTCTCTGGTGAAATATTAGAAAACAGAAACACATTCAGGGTACCAATGATTGTTTTTACAACTCTATGTCATAGACATTAAACTGCTGCAGTTTTACTCTTCAAACTATCATACATCCTGTAATACTGATGTTTAAAGTTGGTTACAGAACAAATGAAAAGATTCAGTGATTAGACTGTGACTCCTGGATGGATGTAAAACTGATCTGGTTGCAGTTTTTTACCAGAAATCGAATGTGATTTTCATCCTAAAATGTCATGTGTCTATCTGCTGTACTGATGAAGTTCTGAGGCTCAGAAATGATGGAAAAAGTCCATTAATGTGATAAATGTGGACCCTCCTCTATGGACTTCAAGGACCTGGAACTCTGGAAATATTCATAGCATGAAAGTAAAACTTTGCTTCATTAAATAAAGTAACTGTAGATAACGAATCAGCTGATTGTGATGTCAGCTGAGTATAAGAGGTTTATATATATGTAGTTGGATTTTTAATGCAGCAGAGTCTCCTGCAGCGTCTCATCACTTGAAGCTGTTTCTGACTCACCTGCTGCTGCAGCTTCAGCCATCGGACGAACACTGAGCGCCTGCAGAGTCGTGACGGCGTCCCTGAGTCCTTCCTCCTCCCCGTGGAGGTGCTGATCTCCTCCAGGCCTTCGTCTCCACAGCTCCAGTTAACGCTGATGCCGACAGGTTTCCCTGCTGGACGAACCTCCCTGCTGCTCAGACCTGCAGGAGGCAGAGAGGGAAGCTTTGGTGTGCTGTCATGCATATAAAACACACTGAGATGTTAGAATATACATTTTGTTTGATCTGATTCAACGGGGGAAAAAAAAAAAAAAAAAAACTGACCTAGAGCTGATATAATCATTAAAGACATTCATAACGCCTCTGAAAATAAACATGTGACTGGAAAATATGAATGATGATGGCAGGTTGTATTGCAATGTAGAAAAAGTCAGAAGAGGCTGGTGACATGGAAATAGTTTAGTATCTTTTTTTTTTTTGTGCAATTTTGGTAACATCTGTGGACATTTGGAAAAATGTTGGAAATTTCATTTTTGGGAAACCAATTCCATCCATCCGAACTGGCGACCTTCCAGCTGTGAGGCGATGGTGCTAACCACCGAGTCACCTTGCAGCCTGGGAAACAAATCATTAAAGAAATGTAACTTTCATTTTTGTCTTGTTTCTAATTCCTGTCATTCTAACTGTGTCCTACTGACAGAAGACATTTCTGAGTTCTCTCTCCTTCTTCATGTTTGTTCTGTTTCTACAGAGGAGCAGGACTTTAGATTGCAGTGAAAAATGAGCCACAGTGAAGAAAAATGAGACGGGAACAGCTCAGAGGTTCAGAGGGTTTAAGGATCAGGAAGGAAGGTGATTATTAAAGGAGTAAGTTGTAGAAATCATCCATCTTTTTTAGTAACCTGAGAGCTCAGAACAGACCCACCACGTTATGATGATGGAGCTGAAACACCTTGGAGAACCATAAAAAGATCAGTTCTGTTCTACTGAAGCACTGAAGATTATCAAATACACAGACTGCATTATAAAAATTCATTCTTATTTCTCTGGTTTGAATCTTTATCCACAATCCATTTTTAAAGCACCGCCAGAGTAAACAAACTGAAAACTTTAGACGACTGTGTAGCTGCTGCTGTCATTAATTTGTATAATTTGTGTTTATTTGACAGCAGTAAACTGGATTTATCGCTGAGGTTCAGTTTCTCTCCAGACGGCTGTTACTGCTGATAGTAACTCTGTTCTTCATTTTCTGTTTATTCCAAACAGACCGTTTACACGGCAGACTGTTCTTGTTACAGCAGATAGAACCAGTAATATTATTTAACACAGCATTTTCCTGTTCTTTACTGGTAAATCTCTAATTAAAAACGACATTTACTATTATTTGATGGTGTATCTATAAATATATGACCTTCTCTCTTATTTAATAGTGTATCTACAATATCCACAGTATAAAAACTGAAAATGTCAAGTTTGTCCTTAAAATCCTTAAAATGTGTGGGTAGCTAATTACTTTGTCTCATAATTTTTTTATTTTATTTTTTCTAAAGAAGGACTGTTTACTACCAGTGTGTCTACTGTTAAATAAATTAATAGGTAAATCAATAAAAAGGACATTTTTGGTATTTTACTAATTCATCTATAGTCTTAAAAAAAGAAAACAGGAAACTTTAATGTTATTTAGTGGTACATTTATAATCAATAAATGGACATTTGCTGATTTTTAGTGGTGTATCTATTGTGAAAAATAGTATGTTTTATGTTATTTAATGGTATATCCATAGTATAAATATTGAAAATCTTACATAAACGTCTCAAAGTCATTACCTGAGTTTTTCTTAACTTTTAAAAAATAGGGTTTTTTCTTTTACTTGACAGCCATCCACAATTTAAAAGGGGGGGGGGAATTCAACAGTAAAAAAGCACAAAAAAATAACATTTGCTATCATTTGAGCGTGTGTCGATAATGAAAATGGGATATTTAACCATTTGATAACACCAATTAACCAACAGCTATGTGTCACTACTGTAAATGAAAAACACATTTTTGTCAATATTACAGCAATAAAAGATGAACTTGTTAAAAAAAAAAAGCAAATCTGCTATATTTACATTTTTAAAAAAATATTCTCTCCTACATGCTTCATATTTTTTGTAAAATACTTTATTTTACTTTATTACATTTTCGCTGATCATCAGAAAGAAACAGCAGCTGATAAAATCTAATGTGAAAATGTAAATAAGCAGAAAATTCACCTGTAAATCACGAACTGTGGACAAATTCTGTTAAAAAATTCATGCAGCTGTAAACAAATAAAGGGTTCATTTGCAACAACAGATAACTGCATCTTCACAAACCTTCAGAAAACCCCCTTTTCCATCGTCTACCTGAGACAATGTCAATCAAACTTAAGTTATCTCTATTTTTGTCATTTCTACTGAGTCAAATCCACTCAACTTCAGTTTGATTGATATTATCTCAAGCAAACAACAACAAAAAATCTACAAAAATGGAGTTATCTGTTTTTGCAAATGAACTCTTCAAACATATCTTAGAGTGTGTTTTCTTTTTCTGCCTTGATGTTTTTCTTTGCAGCTCTACACTGTGAAAGTAAAAGTTTTCCAGAACCAGACGCCTGTTTCTGGAACTTTATGATCAGAAGTCATGGTTTCTGTTTGGACCTACAGCCGAGCAGCAGCGGCTGTCGTCGGTAGGGAAACGGCAGGTGTTTGACGGGCGCCAGGCGGCGTTTCATGGCTCTGGCCAGGTGACCCGTGTGACTGAGCGTGCCCACTGTCAGGCTGTGCAGGTAGACCGGCTCCACCAGGTGAGACAGGAGGGAACCCTGGAGGCCCACCACGCTCCACCTGTCCACACAAACAGGGAAACATCATGTTCTTCACCTTGCTAACATGTACAAATGGTGTTTTTTATTCACTGGAAGATACGTCATAAGTGAAACAAGCAGTCGACACCATGACTGAGTGTTTCCACACAGAAGCTGCAGAGTACAAATGACAGATTATAAAATACAGACTTACAAGGTTTCATATGTCACAAATCTAAAGAACAGGGACGTAAAGATCAAAAGATTTTACCCCTGATCCCGTCTGATGTTACTTTGTAATTGTGTATCTATTGTATAAAAAATTTTTTTTTTAAAAATCAAGAACAAGAAAGAAGTTAATGACCTCCAACCAGAGATCATGTGTTAAAGAAAAAGGGGGAGCGCATAAGGACAGTGTTCCTATATTTCAGTTGTATTTGTAGCAGCAATTCCACCTTCACAACAGACAAAATAGCATTTGTCAAAAAAAAGTCACCCTTAAACTGTAAAAATCATATTTGTAATACCAAAGTCCACCAAAATGCAAGACTAGATTCTATTGTAGAGGTAAAATAATCCCCAAAATCCAGTTATATGGCACATTTAAGAGCAGAATCCACCTTTAAACTCAACAAAACAAAATGTTTAATGTCAGAGCAACCTGCAATTAGACACAAAAACATCCACAATCCACCCAAAACAAGATCTAAGTGCATGTTCAGGGTAAAATATTGGAAACCAGACAACTACATTTTAAAGGGCATAATCTATTCCTAAAATACATTCCATTAGAAAAGCACTCGGAGAGCGCAGACCTCCACCAAGCAGCTCATTTCCACCATATTGTGATTTCCATCCAGCGTTAAAGTCCTGCATTCATTTTATCTACCCTGTTAGATTTGTAAATAGTCAAAACATACCTTTAGCATTTGAATTGACATTGATATCTTTAATAACAAGCTGACAGAGTGATGAATCTGTACTATCAGATATTTTGTACACTTATGTTATTTCTGCAGTTCCTTACTGGCTTTTAAGCTGTTAGCTAACGCTATGCTAGGTTGGCATGACTACAGCGATGTTATTGCTACAATAAACAGACAGGGAGTAGCTTAAGCTAGGTTAGCACAACTTTAGCAATGCAACGCAAATGAAAAGCATGACCAACGCAATGAAGCACGCATCAGTCGTCATGACACATGGAAGAGAGTTAAAGTGAAACAGGAGACATGCTGAGTCATTGTTAATGTTATGTCGTCGTTATGAACTTATCTATCAGTAGCTCCGCTCAGCCCACTCCTGTGATGCTGCCTAACTGTAGCTCACTCCTGTACTACTGAGAACACAGCGGTGAGGACTAAAGGACTGAATGGAGTCAGAGCTCCATCTAGTGGACAAACAGCTCAACGACTGCATTTACAGTTTTATCAGAAAATAACCAGACGGTAAGCCAGAACATCACCAAAATCTAATCGTTTGTTCATAGTGCCATTATCAACATTTCCTGAAAATTTCAGGGAAATCTGTTCCTAATTTTTCGAGTTATCTTGCTAACAAACAAACAAACAAACAAACAAACAAACAAACAAACAAACAAATAAACAGATGCTGACTAAAACATAAGCTCCCTGGCAGAGGTAATTATATTTCAAGTGTTAAACATACCTACAAATTAGACAAAATGTTTTTTTTTTAAAGATTAATATGTACCCAGAGCAGAATCCATCATAAAACAAAACAAAATAGCACTAACCCATCCACAAACTAGATCAAATTACATTTTATGAGTAAAATAAATTAGAAAAATCCACCCCACACTAGTCAGAACAGCATGTTTATGGTATCCACACTGAATGAGGGATGCAGTTTGTCATTTGGTTCATCAGCAGTAAAAACAGGATGTTCTATTGAGGCAGCTCATGTAAACTGAACTATTTAACTGAATTTAAATTCTGAGAGGTCTGAGGCGCTTTTCAGTCACAAAAAACCCCATCTCAGATCAAACTCACTTTGCCATTTTGTCTGTGCAGGACATGGAGACGAGAGGTTTACCCGGCAACAGCCCGTCCCATCTGTGATTGGCCGTGACGGGCAGCGTCCCCTCGCCTCCGTTTACCTTCACCCTGAGGTGGCAGCGAAACCTCCTGCTGGGATCTGAAAGGACATGAAGAGTCACTTGCAAAGAAACTGTTGAAGCTTCATCCAGATCATTCTGTGTAAAAATCAAACAAAACCTCCTCACAATCAGCTGATTCTTTTTCCACAGTAACTTCAGCGTATATAATGAAGCAGTTCTACCTTCATACTGTGATCATTTTCAGAGTTACAGGCCCCTGAAGTCCATAGAGGAGGATCTAAATTAAACACCTTGTAATGGACTTTTAAAAACTGCAACCAGATCAGTTTTACACCCATCCAGGAGTCACAATCTAAACACTATTTATTTTCTCTATAACCAACTTTGAGCATCAATATTATGGGATGTATGATGTTTTGAACAGTAAAACTGCAGCAGTTTAATGTCTATGACATAGAGTCATAGAAATAATCATTGGCACCCTGGATGTGTTTCTGGTTTCTGATAATTCACCAGAGAAAACTTTAAAAAGTGCATTCTGGGTAAACTTTCAAGGCTCATATCAGCATGTGTGATGGTGGTTGGTTAGACCAAATTATAGACAATGAAAGGATCATTTTTACACACATTTGATACCAGGATCGTCTTCAAAACATGAATCACTCTGCGGTAAAACAACTTTTTAGAATCAAAATGTCAGTAAAAAACAAAACAAAAACCAAACAAACAAACTAAAGACCCTGTGATTGTCTGAATGAGTTTCCTCACATGCACTGATGGCCTCGTAGGGACAGTTGAGTCGAGCGTCTCCACAGGGCGATGAGCTGACGTACATGTGGAAGAGGACACCGTCCTGCAGCCGGAAGACGCCGCTGCAGCCTTTATTTGGTACGAAGATGGACGATTCCTCACCGTCCCCTGGCTTACTTCAGATGGGAAACAGGAAGAATTTAACATGAGACAGAAAAACACAGAAGTTGGTTTATTTAAAAGCTGTAGCATCACAGAAAATCATAAATCAGAATAAATGAACTGAGTCAGGATTTTAATAAAATACAAAAAAGACATTTTTAGTGGCAGTTCCACTAAAATCTTAAACAATATGACATTTTAAATGGCAAGTTCCACCTGAAAACTAGATAAAGTGACATTTAAAGTCCAAAACTGTAGCCCAAACTGAGGTCACATGACATTAAAAGAGAGGGGAAAAAAATTCTGAATAAGAAGTTTTAGGGGCTAAATTGACCCCAAGGTTTAGAAAATGACATTTGCAATGTAAACTTCCCACCAAAAACCAGACAGATTCCATATAAAAGCTACAAAAAAAAACTTCAGGTAAAGATCAATGTGAAAAACAGGTTCATGTCTGCTCCTCAAATGAGACCAAATTACATTTTAGGGATAAAATAAACCTAAATTTCCCCAAACCTAAACCAAAATTAGACAAAAGTGTTGTTTAAGGGCAAACTCTACTACAAAACTACATAGAATATCATCTTTTAGCAGAATTTGCATGAAGACTTGACAAAAGTGAAGTTTTCAGCGCTGGGTTGTACCCCAAAACTAGGCTATTCATTTTGGAGTGCAAGATTTTGCTTAAAAGGAGAGAAAACATTCTGTATGCCAAATTCCACCTCAAAAACAAACAACCAAACAAACAAAAAACAGACAAAATGATATTTATCAGGACAAAATCCATTTAAAAACTAATCACAATGACATTTTGAGGCCAGATTCCACCTAAAAAACATAAAATCTGGGGCCAAAAAACTGAAGATTTTTCATGTCCAGTTCCACCTAGAAATAAATAATATGATAGTTGTTAGATCAAAATTTAACCAAAACTAATCAAAAATAACATTTTAAGCCAAATTTATTTCTAAAAAATGACACTTCAGGGAGGGGGACACTTTAAGGGACCAATTTAAATGAAAAGTAGAGCAAATTCAGTGTTTAAGGGTAACGTCCACCCTAAAGCAGCATTAAATAACATAAATTCATCCCCACATGATCCCAAATGACAGAAACTAGACAAAATAACATTTAGAAAGACAAAATCTATCCCAAAACGACACAGAGTAATATTTTTAGAACAGAATCTACATAAAAACAAACAAAAAAACAGACGCAATAATATTTTCAGTGCCAGATCTCACCAGAAAAAAAGACAAAATAGTGTTTGTTGGGGCAAAATTCAAACTTGAAGTGGACAAAATTGCATTTTAAGGGTGAAATCTGCCCAATAGCCAATAACAACAGAAAGACTGTTGATGTACCAGAGCAGCAGCTCCAGCTGACGGTACAGGAATCGAACCAGCGCCCTCCGGCTGATGGTCTCAGCGTGACAGTCGCTGAGCGTCCAGCCGACGTCGTCCTCCTGCTGTCCAGAGTCCAGACATTTGGTTCCGGTGGCCAAAGACACGACGTTGGCCGATCGGAGGTCGAAGCCTGCAGAGACGTAAACAGAAGGAAAAGAAATGTGGAGATCTGTGGAGGCTCAGTGAGATGATTCAGTCTGATGGGACTTCAGATGACTCAGAGCAACAAAACCAGACGTTCAGCTCCTCTACATCCCATCATCAGCAGGCCGAGACTCAGGGAGAGAGTCCGCTGAACAATGTGGAGGATTCACAGGACAGTTAAGACGACTCTGTTCTAGGCTACAAGGCTCCTACAATTTTCTGCAGAAACAGTCAATGCCATCTATACCATCTGAAGTCATTCTGAGTCCTTTTTTTAAAAATCACTTTGTGGTTGTTTTATATCACTTTTTGGTAAATTATTATCATTTTCTGGCTCTTTTTTGTCTATTTGTAGTTGTTTTATTTATCACTTAGTTGTTGGTTTTTTAATCAATTTGTGGTTTTGATCACATTGTAGTTATTTTGTTTTATCACATTTTAGTTGATTGGTGATTGTTTTTATGCCAGATGGTGTTATAATATTGTCCCTTTGTGGCTCTTTTCAAAGAAAAAAAAATCAATTGGTTGTCGTTTTCATTGATTTATGGTTGTTTTTTTTTTTAATATCACTTTTTGTTTGTTTGTGTTTTTTTTTTTTATCACATTGTAGTTATTTTGATCAGCTTGTGTTTGTTTTTAATTACTTTTTAGTTGTTCTGTTTGTTTAATGGGACCTGTTGTGTGTGTGTGTTGTTTCTTTTTTTTTATCACTTTGTGATCTTTTAATGTCACCTTGTAGTATAACATTATCACTTTGTGTTGTTTGTTGTTTTTATTGATTCATAGCTGTCGTTATCAATTTCTGTTATTTTTTTTATTAGGTTTTTTTTTGTTGTTTTTTTTTTACCAACTTTTTGTTCTTTTGTGGTTGTTAAATGTAACCTGTTTCTTTGTTGTGTAACGGCAAAATACTGCATCTGCATGAAGAATGTCAAGGCAAGTTTCATTAAGTTACATTGAAGCTGAATTGAGAGGTTACAGGCCCAATGAGAGGAAATGTGTTTTCATAACATCAAGGTAAAAGATTAGTGACCGTACAGAAGGAAGAAGAAGTTGTTCATGTCAAGAAGATTATAGGAAACACAGCCTTGTTGCATCCCATGTGTTTAGACTTCTTGATGTCTGATCCAATGTGTTTAGTCTTCTAATGTCTGTGGATGGGTGCACCCTACTTTTTCAAGGTTGTTATACTACCACTGCAGCGAGGCCACTCCTGTACATGTATAAGAAAACCACGCTGCCTACACTCATGTGTACTCTCCTGCAGACTGCTTGCACTCTGTATGACCTGTACCTTCAAAGCTTTGAATAAAACAAGACAAAGACAACTCAGACTACTGGACCCTGTTAAGATCATAGCAAAAATTTCCGCAACAGTTGTTGTTGTTGTTGTTGTTGTTGTTGTTGTTGTGGCTTTTAATCACTTTGGTTGTTTTGGTTTTTTTTCACTTTTTGTTAGTTTTGAGCAGTTTTCTTTGTGATTTTATGATTTTGGTTGTTTGTTATTTATTATTATGTAGTTTTATGTCTCTGCTTTTTCAAGTGTTAAACTAAATTAAGATCTGTTTTTATTGCTTTTTGGAGGGGGGAGTTGTTTTTTTTTTTTAGCACTTGCAGTTGTTTTTTGTTATGTTTATGTTTTGTGCTTGTTTATGTGGCTGTGAAATTGTATTTTTTGTAATTTTATAGTTGTTTAATGGGACTTAGTGGTCATTCTATTTCAAATTGTAGAAAATCAAACATTTTCCAGTCACTGATATCAATGACACTGATGCGACACCTTAATTCTTTGTGTGTTTTGACCTGAGTGAGTCCGTCTTTGTGTGTCTAGTGTTGAGTTTTGATCTCACCTCTGGTCATCACGATTCCGGCCAGAACTTTGTGTCGGACGTTCGAGGTAGAGAAACAGCTGTCGGTCAGCTCTGTGAACTTCTCTCTCACCAAGTGGAAGATCGACTCTGCAAAGAACTGCAGAGAACAAACATGGAGACGAAATCAGAAGAGCTGAGGAGCCAAAAAGAACATCAGGTCGTCTGTGAGGTCGAGGTTTACCACGAGAAACTTTTAGTTTTATTTACTCAGCGGGTCTGTCATATTTCTGCTCTGCTTTGAGGATGTAAACAGTTTTCGGCCAATATTTGTTGGTAACTTCTGTTTACAGTGTTTCTGTGGTAATTTAAAAAAGTGGATAATCCTCAGTAGAAAGGCAGTAGAAGGAGAATTCTTTTTCTATGATCTCTGAGCAGCTTTATTAGGCGTCATGATGTTCCTAGAAAGTGTCACTAANTAAAACTAACTTCTCTGTCCAGGAATGTGAGTAAATAACTAGAACTTGACATCTTAATCATGGCATAATACGCTTTACTGTTTTTTTGGGTTTTTTTTTTTGGCAAATTCATTGATGACAATAATTATTCTGTTTTAGCATAAAAAATATCACTTTGGTTAAAGAGTTTGGTTTATGGGACAATAATTATTCTGTTTTAGCATAAAAAATATCACTTTGGTTAAAGAGTTTGGTTTATGGATTATTGTTTATTTTATTTTATTATTATATATATATTTTTTTTTTTACCACCTTTTTGTTCTTTTGTGGTTGTTAAATGTAACCTGTTTTTTGTTGTGTAATGGCAAAATACTGCATCTGCATGAAGAATGTCAAAGCAAGTTTCATTAAGTTACATTCAAGCTGAATTGAGAGGTTACAGGCTCAATGAGAGGAAATGTGTTTTCATAACATCAAGGTAAAAGATTAGTGACCGTACAGAAGGAAGAAGAAATTGTTCATGTCAAGAAGATTATAGGAAACACAGCTTTGTTACATCCCGTGTGTTCAGACTTCTTGATGTCTGATCCAATGTGTTCAGTCTTCTAATGTCTGTGGATGAGTGCACCCTGTACCCCCAGCTGCTGTTTTTCAAGGTTGTTGTAATACCACTGCAGCGAAGGCCACGCCTGTACATGTATAAGAACACCATGCTGCCTACACTTATGTGTACTCTCCTGCAGACTGCTTGCATTCTGTATGACTGGTACCTTCAAAGCTTTGAATAAAACGAGACAAAGACAACTCAGACTTCTGGACCCTATTAAGATCATAGCAACAATTTCCACAACAGTTGTTGTTGTTGTTGTTGTGGCTTTTAATCACTTTGGTTGTTTTGGTTTTTTTTCACTTTTTGTTAGTTTTGAGCAGTTTTCTTTTATTTTTTTCATATAATGTAATGTTTTTTTCCTCACTGTGGTTTTATGATTTTGGTTGTTTGTTATTTATTATTATGTAGTTTTATGTCTCTGCTTTTTCAAGTGTTAAACTAAATTAAATTCTGTTTTTATTCCTTTTTGGGGGGGGTTGGGTTTTTTTTTTTAGCACTTGCAGTTGTTTTTTGTTATGTTTATGTTTTGTGCTTGTTTATGTGGCTGTGAAATTGTATTTTTTGTAATTTTATAGTTGTTTAATGGGACTTAGTGGTCATTCTATTTCAAATTGTAGAAAATCAAACATTTTCCAGTCACTGATATCAATGACACTGATGCGACACCTTAATTCTTTGTGTGTTTTGACCTGAGTGAGTCCGTCTTTGTGTGTCTAGTGTTGAGTTTTGATCTCACCTCTGGTCATCACGATTCCGGCCAGAACTTTGTGTCGGACGTTCGAGGTAGAGAAACAGCTGTCGGTCAGCTCTGTGAACTTCTCTCTCACCAAGTGGAAGATCGACTCTGCAAAGAACTGCAGAGAACAAACATGGAGACGAAATCAGAAGAGCTGAGGAGCCAAAAAGAACATCAGGTCGTCTGTGAGGTCGAGGTTTACCACGAGAAACTTTTAGTTTTATTTACTCAGCGGGTCTGTCATATTTCTGCTCTGCTTTGAGGATGTAAACAGTTTTCGGCCAATATTTGTTGGTAACTTCTGTTTACAGTGTTTCTGTGGTAATTTAAAAAAGTGGATAATCCTCAGTAGAAAGGCAGTAGAAGGAGAATTCTTTTTCTATGATCTCTGAGCAGCTTTATTAGGCGTCATGATGTTCCTAGAAAGTGTCACTAAACCTAGAAATCAGTGGATCACATCTGTGTGTTCAGTTGTGAAGCAAAATGACCACAAACATTCCACCAAATGTCCATACAACAACATATTCTGAATCTTTGTGGTCATTTTGTCTCTTTGTGCCTGTTTTTTGGCCAATTTGTGATTGTTTTGTGTCTCTTTGAGGTTGTTTTGTCTCAATTTGTGGTTGTTTTGTGTCCAGGGCTGCAAGGTGGAGCAGTGGGTAGCACTGTTGCCTCTCAGCAAGAAGATCCCCAGTTCGCGTCCTGGTGAGGATCTTTCTGTGTGGAGTTTGCATGTTCTCCCCGTGCAGTGTGGGTTCTCTCCGGGTTTCTCTGGCTTCCTCCCACACACTCCAAAAACATGTTGAGGTTAATTAGTGATTTTAAATTGTCCGTAGGTGTGAATGTGAGTGTGCTTGGTTGTCTGTCTCTAAGTGTAGCCCTGTGATAGACTGGTGACCTGTCCAGGGTGTCCCCTGCCTTCACCCTGAGTCAGCTGGGATAGACTCCAGCCCCCCATGACCCTAGTGAGGATTAAGCGATGGATAGATAATGGATGGATGTTTTGTGTCCCCTTGTGGTTATTTTGTGTCTCATACAGAACAGCCAATAAAATAAATAAAATAGATACTGATCACAAAAAGGTGAAAAAGCACAACAAATAGTGTTGGACCAATTACAAAAAGATGCAAACATATTCCAAAGACGTGCAAAATAACAACAAAAAGATGCAAGCGACCACAAAAATATGCAAAATGGCCTCAGTGAGAAGCAAAATGACCACAAATAGAATCAATCCAATCTCAAATGGATGCAAGTTGATCACAAAATGACCATAAAGAGACGTTCAATGCTCATTTTTTGGGAGCAAGTCTTATTTTTTTTTCTTTTTTGGCCATGACGCTCAGTTTTCAGGATGACAGCAGCACAAGGTCGTGTGTAATGAGTGTGTTAAACAATTATCTATCAGATTATTGTGCTCTTCACACTGCTCCACCTCTGTCTGCTCGCTCTGCTGCCGCTCCTCCTTCATCCCTAATGTGCTGTAATAATGTTCATTAATGCGTCACGCCGCCCCACAGACTCCTCGCGTTGAAGGAGAGCTGAGGGGCTCCATGCTGAAGGCTCCTGCAAACTAAAACCACAGATTCACAGCGTCCAGATCCCGTTCATCACCCAGAGTGTTGCATCATGTCCCTCCGGGTTCAATAAAGCGTCTCCGTGTCTGTCCTCCTCTATTATCTTTGCATATTTGAGAAGCTTCAGTCGATCTGCGGAGACAATTCTTTGTGTCTTCATAAAGCTCGACAGCGAAAGACGACAAGGACGGTTCTGGGAGACATAATGAAGCAGTTTAGATGTTGCAGACGAGCGAGCAGGACGCCGTCCGGCTCTGCGGCTTCCGGACATGACAGCCATGTTGATGTGCAGCACATCTTACACACGTTTACCCTCAGACAGAGAGCTACAGAGCTGATCCAGGTCTGGGATGAGTTTCTGAGTTCAACATGTAAAGGCCCTTTTGTCAGCAAATGACCACAAAAAGATAATATAAGATTAAGTTTTGACAGTCTTCAAAGAAAACATGGAAAAGAAACACAAAAAATTCAAAAAGACCAAAAGTAAAAGGACCACAAAAGTTCCAC